AGGGTTTAATTGGAGCAGGAAGCCAACGCTAGCTCCTCCTGGTTTCCCAGGGGTGGGGGGTGGGGACTGCTGAGAGGATCTGGGGACCCCTGTGGGCCGGGCTGCTCCCAGCGCCCCCTGTCCAGCTTCAGGCTGGATATAAGGACCAGCCGCTCCCAGCCTCATCACTTCCAGGGCAGGTGCAAAGTAAAAGGATAGAGCCCTTGGTTAAAAAAAGTTAGAAATTTCAGGAGAGTGACAGCAAAGCCTAAAACCAACCATGCCCCACCCTCATCACGTGTCTGGGCAAGCCCCTACCTTCCCTGGATGCAGAGAGGACCCTGGCCCTTCAGGGTAACTTGGAGGAATAAGAAGGCCCAGTAGATGACATCCAGGTAATAGCTACCCAGTAGTCCCCACTTGCATGGCCAGGTGGACCCTAGGTGGGTGGAAGGGTGGAGTAGACAAGAGGCAGAGCTGCGTGGACCTACGATTCTGACTGTGGAGGGCAGAGACAAGTGCAGACTGCTGTCAGTGCAGCCACCCTGCCTGGGCCTGTGAGTGGGCCTGCCAGAGGCTGGGGAGATGGTGAGAGACTCTCAGCAGGAACCTTGGCTAAGCGGTGGTGAGTTCCCTGTCACTGCAGGCATCCTAACCCACTGACCAGCCTCTGGCAGCTGGGGGATCCCAGCATCAGGCCTGGGGGGACTGTGGAGGATGTGGTTCTCCCTGGGGTCTCTCACTCAGCTTCCGCAGGGCTTGCACTGTCCTTCTTCAGAGGTCCTGGGATGCAGGCAGTGAGGCTAAGCAAGAGACTCTTCTGGGAAGTGGGGGCCTACGGGAACCACCAAGGTGCTCAGCACCCCGCCTGGACTCCCAGGACCCAGAGGGGCCAGTCAGTGGAGCTTTGTGTGGGCCACCCAGAACCTTGGCATTGCTTAAGCACCTATTGTGTGCCCTGCTGGGGCTGGATCCCAGAGGAGAGAGGGGAGGGGAAGGGAAGGGAGCCCCATTCTCCCCAGGAGCAAACTGGAGTGTGTTCCGCAGGAAACCCTGAATGGCCAGTTGGTTTGCTCTTGCCAGGCATGGTGCCTGTCCTTTACCTACTAACCCAGAGAGCACCCCAAAGTGGGTATTCTGATCCCACCTCACAGGTGAAAAATAGGGCCCTAGGGAGGAAAGGTCGGGGGAGAGGCAGGAGACTGAGTCCTAGAGTAGCAGGGCATGGTGGTGCACCACTCTTAATTCTAGCACTGTGGGAGGCGGAGGCAGAGGATCACAAGTTGGACTCCTGTCTGGGCAATTTAGTGAAACTGTCTCAAGATATTAATTAATTAATTAATTAATTAAATGGGCTGGGGTTGTATCTCAGTGGTGGAGCCCTGAGTTCCACCCCCATTACCTACTGGGAAAAAAGAAAAAGAGAAAGTGACAAAGAACCTGTAGGAGGAAGGAAGCCCTTGGGGTTCAGAAGAGGCTTGTAAAGTAAGTGAGGGCCCTCTCTTGGCCCTCAACTCTTGTTCTCAAGGGAGGCTGGGAAACTAACCGTCTCATGGGATGGGGACCAGCCTGGCAGCTTGGAAAGGGGACTGGTACAGGAGGCAGCTGGGAGCCCCTTCCTTAGGGGCTTCCTGCCACCCCACCCAGGCCCCTCTCTGCTGTTCCCCTCAGAGACAAGCTTAAGACTGGAGCCTTGCTGGCTAATGTACACAGGGGAGGTGGCTACCAAGACACAGCTCCCTGTCAACTGTTCCAATAAGCTCTGGTTTGGTCTGTGACTGCTCCCACAGTTGTGTGACCTCCTGGTCTCATGCTCAGTCAGGCCACCAGGGACCCTGGGAGCTATTCAGGGTACAGAGGACTTCCAGCCCTAGAACTGCACAGAGGAGTGATTGTCCCATTTACAGGTGCTTTGAGTGACATGCCAAGGTGCACTGCCAAGAAGGGACCGTTTCCCTACCCCCAGGCAGACCATCTGAGGGTGGGGACTGTGATATTTATTTCTTGGGCTCTTGGAGGAGGCAAAGCTGTGACAATAGCCCCAAGTAGAATCCTTGAGGATGTCCTTCCAGCCACTTGACAGCCAGTGGCCAGAGGTCCTCCAGCAGATGGAGACAGGACCCCAGCCTCTGGCCAGGTGCTGGCGGGTATAGGTCCACAATGTGCCCACGAGGACTCAGGCCCAGTGAGTGTTGGAGAGGGAGGAATGCTGGCAGGGAGGCCAGTGTCACCTGGCTGGGTGCTCTGTGTGGCTACCCTAGAGATGGAACTCAGAGAGGCCAAGTGCCTCATCCCAGATCACACAGCAGCCCTTGGGGTCCAGACCCAAGAGCAGTAGTTCCACAGCACCAAGGCCTGGGCTGGAAACAGCCAGCCCTCAAGACTGGAGGGCTGTTTCTCAGACCCAAAGGAGCCGAGCTGAGATCTGCGCAAGCTGGCAGGTTAGTGGCGTCAGACAACGTCAGTCCCAGCCAAGTTTACTAATATTTATCCAAGGAGCCGCATCCGGCATTCACATGGAGCCAGGGAGAGGCCCCCAGCCCAGACAAGCATCTCGGGTCAAACTAGGTCCCCAAACACATCCGGCCTGGCACTGGCAAGCTCTGCCCAGCTGTCTGACTCGGCACTGCAGCCTGGCAGTGTGGGGCCCTTGGCAGCTGAGGGAAGGGGACACCTCTTTGAAACTCCCTGAGTGAGGTCACTTCCCCATGGTGAGAAGGCTAGTCCTTCAGGCACTTGCCCAACCAGCCAGGCCATGTAGCCAGCCTGTGAGGAAGCTGTGTGTCATGGGGCATGGCCCAGCACCTGAGGCTCCATGCCTCCCTCTTCCTGTGGGTGGCGTACTCAGGAATGGTCCTTACTCCCTGCCGGGGGTCAGGAAGACTTTTTCCCTGCCTCCTCAGGAAGCCCTCCCAGATTGCCAGGACATGCTCTGGGTCCCTGAGCCTGCTCCAGCCTGAACCTGGGGAGGCTGGGGAGGATGGGGCAAATCCAGGCTGCTGGAGTCTCAGTACCTGAGAGGCACCCTGATGCTACCTGACCTGAGCCCAACATGGCCCCTGGGCCAAGGCCTGTGACTCAGGCCTGCCCCAGATCCCTCTCCTCCCAGCCACAGCCTGAGAAAAGAGAAAGGCTGGGCGGAAGGCCGGCCGGCTGCCCCACCTGGTTTCGGCACTGTCAGTCTGGCATGGCCTCAGAGGCTGTGTCCTCTCTGTCCTTCTATCTGGTTCCTGATCCCCTTGAGGGCACAGAAGTTGCTGTCAGTGCAGCTACCTTGCCTGGGCCTGTGAGTGGGCCTACCAGAGCCTAGGGGGATGGTGAGAGACTCCCAGCAGGAACCTTGGCTAAGCGGTGGTGAGTTCCCTGTCACTGCAGGCATCCTAACCCACTGACCAGCCTTTGGCAGCTGGGGGATCCCAGCATCAGGCCTGGGGAGACTGTGGAGGATGTGGTTCTCCCTGAGGTCTCTCACTCAGCTTCCGCAGGGCCTGCACTGTCCTTCAGGAGTGCAGGGCAGGCCTGGCCTCAGAAGGTTTCAAGGACAAGGTGGGAACAGTGCTCTACCCAGAACATATTTCCCCTTTGTAGTCCTTGTTGAGCTCCTGTTTATCCCTACGTGCCCAACCTGGAAGTTACTATAAACTCCTGGAACGCAGTGAGAGTATCTTTGGGGCCCAGCCCAGGCATTCAGAAAATGCTCTTGGAAACAGGTAGCTAAAAGATTATCTACCTTGTTCAAAAGACATGATCCTATGTGTTCATCTGTTAAGACCTTGCACCCAAGTTGAGGGGTGCGGTGGGAGATGGGTCGGGGGCTTTGCTGAGCTAATGTGGGCGCAGGGCTGGAGAGGAGTGGATATGGAGCCTGTAGGGGTTGGGTAGGCAGGACCAGGAATGTGGAGCTCAGGGGAGGGACCTACCCCCACCCTGCCACTCACAGAAAAAGGGAGGAGCCAGCTGATCTGCCACTCTGCTGACTGCCAGAGTCTGGCCAAAGAGGCACCTTTCCAGAGGCCTGAGTGGATGGATGAATCAGGCGGGAGGAAGAAGGCCTAGGGGACCCCAGCTCTGCATGGGCTCAGCGGGAAGACTCACTGGGCAGTTGGTCTCAGAAAGAGGCCACAGCTGATTCCTGCCCACTGGCTAAATGGTCCCCTCAGCAAATGGGGGCAGGGGCCCCATCTTGTGCTTTTTGTTAAGTTCTTTCCTAATTTAAAGAATTACTCAAAGTAGTAACCAAGTGTT